AGTTAATTTTTTTATATGGTGTTAGGTAAGAGTCTAACTTATTCTTTTACAAGTGAATATCCAGTTTTCCCAACACCATTTGTTAAAAAGACAGTCCTTTCTGCATTGAATGGTCTTAGCGCCTTTGTTGAAAATCATTTGCCCACATATGTGACGGTTTATTGTGAGGCTGTCAAATCCCATTCCTTTGGCCTTTTTTTTTTTTTTCTGTCTTTGTGCCTATATCACATGGTTTTGATTACTTTAGCTTTGTAGTAAGTTTTGAAATCAGGTGTGAGTCTTCCAACTTTGTTCTTTTTTTTTTTTTAAGATTTTATCTATTTATTTGAGAGAGATCACAAGTAGGCAGAGAAGGGGGGGGGGATGCAGGCTCCCTGCTGAGCAGAGATCCTGATTCAGAGCTTGATCCCAGGACCCTGAGACCACAACCTGAGCTGAAGGCAGAGGCTTCACCCACTGAGCCACCCAGGCACCCCAACTTTGTTCTTTTTCAAGATTGTTTTGGTTTTGGGGGTTCCTTAAGATTCCATATACATTTTAGAACAAGTTGTTCTATTTCTGTAAAAAAAAAAAAAAAGTCTCTGGAGGGGCGCCTGGCTGCTTCAGTTGGTAGAACATGCATGCAACTCTTGATCTTGGGATCGTGAGTTCAAGCCCCAAGTTGGGTGTGGAGCCTACTAAGAAAAAAAAAATCAGTAGGATTTGGTAGAGATTGCAGTGAAGATCTATAGGTAAGTCTTCCAATCCATGAACACAAGATACTTTTCCATTTATTTTTATCTTCCTTAATTTCATTCAGCAATGTTTTATCATTTCTTTTGTTAATTCTTAACTACTTTATTCTTTGTGATGCTATTCTAAATTGAAATTTTATTTTATTTTATTTTATTTTATTTTTTTAAATTTTATTTTTTTATTTTTTTTTAAAGATTTTATTTATTTATTTGACAGAGAGAAATCACAAGCAGGCAGAGAGGCAGGCAGAGAGAGAGGAGGAAGCAGGCTCCCCGCCGAGCAGAAAGCCCGATGCGGGGCTTGAACCCAGGACCTGGGATCATGACCTGAGCCGAAGGCAGTGGCTTAACCCACTGAGCCACCCAGGCGCCCCTAAATTGAAATTTTAAAAAAATTTCCTTCTTGGATTGTTCATTGTTTGTGTATAGAAACACAGCTGATTTTTGTGTGATTTTGTATTCTGCAACTTTGCTGAATTCATTTATCCTTTTTTTTTTTTTCTTTTGGTGGAGTCCAAAGGATTTTCTACATATGTGATCATATCATCTGTAAATAGGTAACTTTATTTTTGCAAGAAAAGTTTTATATGTAGTATTATATTGTGAAGCTCTTAACTGAGACTCACTAAGTTTGTGATTATATGGGGGCAGGGTGTCACAGAAAGTTATATTTAGAGGGTCCTTAGATCCAGCCCAGCTCAGTGTCACACAGCAAGTTAGAGGTTCAGTAGGATCCGAAACCTGATCTGTGTTCCTCCTCTTAGCTTTCTAGGAGCAGACAAAGCCAAGCTGGGAGCTAGCATGGAGAACCCTTGCCTAGAGGATATTTATGGGGCTGAGACTTGATCCCTTTGTGCTTTCACCCAAGGCTCTCCTTATCTTAGGAAGTGGGGAGTCTGGCTGAATCCCAGTGCATCCATCTGGTTAAAATAAACATGCTGGGTGGTCTAAGATGGAAAAGAACTTGATGAAGAGTCAGATCTGGAAGTGGGAGAGAGATTTGGAAGTAGGACAGATTTTGCCTTTGTGAGGTTGGAACTTTCTAAGCACCAGTTAAACACATGATCTCAGGCTTGGGGCCGAGTATGTCCTCTCAGCTGAATGCCTCTATGCCACTGCCAGCTGCTTGTAGGAGAGTTTGGAGGGGAAAGTGTGCTCAGAGGGGTAAGACTGAGGGCCCTAGACAGACATAGATGGAGTCACAGAAATCAAGAGTCCTGTGGGGAAAAATCCACAAGCCATGGAAAGCGCATTCGTTGTGAAGTAGAGGTCTGAGTTTGTATCCAGGTCCTCTTTTTGCCTATGATAAATGTTTTACTAGTACTTAATGGGGTTCTTACTAGGTTCCAGCTTTGCTAAATGTTTTACATGTTTTCCTCCAAAAGTTGGCTGGGCTCTTAACCACTATACTGAACTCCTCTCCTTTATCTTTAAAATTTTCTGCAGTAAATGTGGATTATTTATGTAATTAAAATGACAATCTTAGGAAGGCTACACTTCACCTTCAGGCCACCATAGACTCCTGGGAGCTGAGGGGAAGTCAAATGGTTTGGCAGGGGGTAAACTGCTTGGTGGTACCCTTCTTCCTCTCATCTTAAAACTTTGAAAGATAAGGTGTTGTCTTAACCTCGAACCTTCCTTGGGATAAGTCAGTGTCCTGATCAGGTCCTTTGAGCAATAGCGTGAGAATCTTCTGTGGTGTAAGTGAAGAGTGCAGATTCCTGGACTCTCTGGGGGCGAGGTCTGGGAATTTGGATTTTTGGAAGCTCTCCTGATGATTCTGATACATATTAAAGCTTGAGAACTACTTCTCTGGGTAATTCCTTCCAGTTCTGCCTCTTAACAGCTGTGTGGTATGGGGCTAGTTATTGTCATAGTTCCGTTTACTCTCAGCCCTCTACTGAGAGGCCAGGTAATAACAGTATATAATAACAGTAACATGGAATATCCTATTTCATCCTCCTAAGAGGTGAATATTACTATGCCCATTTTATTGATGAGGACACTGTAGTTTGGAGTGGTAAATTGACTTGTCTGGGATCATGACAGCTCATTAGGTGACAGAGCCAGAACTGAATGCAAGCTTAGATTATAGAGAAGTGCTTTGGAAACCAGTAACATTGAGAGCATTGGTAATTATTATTTCCACATTCCCGAGTTCCCTTCTCTGCAGCTGCAGTGGCTAACATACCAAGCTTACAGCACACCAAGACAGGCTGAGCCTCTCCCCTCTAGGAGTTTTTCCCATTAGCAGTTTCTAAACTAGAGTGTAGTTTTTATTTCTTTTTTTTTTTAAATTGTTATTATTTTTTTAGTAATCTCTACCCCCAACATGGGGCTAGAGCTCATGACCCTGAGATCAAGAGTTGCATGCTCCATTGGCTGAGCCAGCCAGGCGACCCGCAGTGTACTTTTTAAATCCAGAGTCGAGTCCAGCCGTAGAGGGTTTTCTTTTTTTTTAAGATTTTACTTTTTTAAGTAATCTCTGCACCCACGAGGGGCTCAGACTCACAACCCTGAGATCAAGAGTCGCATGCTCTACTGACTAAGCCAGTCAGGTGCCTCCAGAAATGCATTTAAATGCTATTTCCTGGGACACCTGGGTGGCTCAGTGGGTTAAGCCTCTGCCTTCAGCTCAGGTCATGATCTCAGGGTCCTGGGATCAAACCCCGCATCGGGCTCTCTGCTCAGCAGAAATTCTGCTTCCCCGCTCCCCACTCTCTCTGCCCACTTATGATTTCTCTGTCAAATAAATAAATAAATAATCTTCAAAAATAAATAAATAAATAAATAAAATAATCATTATCTAAAGTGCTTGCTTACTACTCAGGGGTTCATCAGTTTGAAGCTTGTCACAGAAGATGCTTTTGGTTTCAGTTCTCTGAAAAGTATTTGTAGGAAGCCATTTCTTCTAAGGCAGTCAGACCATCCAAAAGATTTCCCCCTTTAGGGTAATATTAATATTCATTTTCCAGATGAAAATGAGAATTAAATTTATTTTGAAGAGCCCTTCTACATAATGTCCCTGTTCTGCCAAGCCCTATGGCCAAGTGCACAGTTTGAGGGCTACTGACAGAGGAAGTGGAAAACCAGGGCCTTGGATGAATGGCTAAACTCTCTCAAACCGGAGCTCTTTAATCTGGGAAACGTGAATAGGGAGGCACGGACTCCAAATTTCTAAAGGAGAATGACTTGTGGGAGATTGGACATCCTCCATCTGGGTCTGTTGTCATCAGAAGCTGATTTGGTTCAGTATTAGAAATTTCTAGTGTTTAGCCCAAAATCCATATTGGTTAAATGCCAGTAGTCAGTGAACTGCCCATCACTAGTTCAAATAAGGTCCAGGCAGATGTCAGGGTGACCTTCAAGTAAGACGGACTTGAATTCATATCCTAGCTCCATTTAATACTGGCTGTACAGTTCAGGCCAATTAATTTAACAAACCCTCAGTTTCTTCACTTATGAGAAGGGCATCTGCCTTCATTTGTGTGTATACAAAAATTAAAGTAATAATGAACACTGGATAGGACCAGGCACAAAGCAAGGGTGTTTACTGCTGCAGGCCTTGACTTTGCACTGTTTGGGCTGCAGTGAAATGTATAGTTGCTTCATTATGAAGTAAATGAAACTCACAGCTACTTAAGCAAAAAAGGGAAATTTAGGGGTGCCTGGGTGGCTCAGGTCATGATCTCAGGGTCCTGGAATCGAGCCCCCCACATCGGGCTCTCTGCTCAGCGGGGAGCCTGCTTCCTCCTCTCTCTCTGCCTGCCTCTCTGCCTACTTGTGATCTCTGTCAAATAAATAAAATCTTAAAAAAAAGGGGGGGGGATTTACTAGCTTCCGTAACATGGAAGTCTAGAGGTGGTACCAGTTTCAGACATGACTAAAGCATCCATCTCACCTGTGCTGCTTTCTGTGCCGGCGTCATACTGCAGTCCTATGCTTTCCTCGCTGGTTGAGGGGGGAGGATAAGGTTGCTAGCTCCCTAAGTTCCCTCACCACTCAGCAATCCCAAAGCTTGAGTGTTTATCCAGGGAAGACTGGTGCAGCTTGGGAGGCATATGCCCCCTGCCCACTATGGTGAAAAGGTTATGGACCAGGGTTGAGGCCAAAGACTAAGGATGCAGGACACCCAACACTGACAGGTGGCTGCTAGAGGGGGGGACGAGTAAGGCCCTGTAAGAACTCAGCAACTGCCCCACCCCTGGACGCGGCCCAGGGTCACTGTGGATCAATCTGTTTCTGCTTTAAAAAGCAAAACAAAACAAAACCCAAAAACAACTTTATTTGACGAAAGACAAAAACAAAAGTTATTTACAGTAGTTTTTTGCTCAAATAATTCAACGGGATAACTGTGCTTCTCCAGCTTTCTCTCACGACCCAACCAAGCGGAGGCTGCCCTACCTCCAGCCTCCCCATCTCGCACAAGGGGGAAATGCCAACCAGAATTCAGCAGCATGGCTCCTCACCCCTCACCACCTCTACTGCTCAGTGCACTGTGGGAAGGAAAAGTCCCACCCCAGCCCAGTACACTGCCAGGGGCTCTTGCTATAAGCATCTTCCAACAGTGCTACCAGACCTGGGCTCAGACATGGGTGGGGTGGAACAGGCTGGGCAAACAGCAGCTTCAGCTGTCTTGAAGCTGCTGTTCTTTCTTCCCCAGCTGGGCCTCAGGAGGGCGAGGATCCCTGATCCCCCTAGGACATGCAGGGACGGGCTGGGGTGGCAAAAGAGAGAGCTGGGGTGGCAAAAGAGAGAGCCTAGGAAACTTGCCCATTCAGAGAGCAAAGCTCCCTCTCCTTAAGTAACTGATCCCCATTCCCACAGCAGTGGGTAGGCCAAGCCGCTGAGAAGTCAGGTAGCCTCCCTGAAGCCTTCAGACATCATCCCAGAAAGGACAGAACACACGTTGCTGCCTTTCTCCTGGCCAGGCTCACCCAAGTCAGTCAACCCCCAGGAATCTCCCCCTTGTGCCTGCCTGACTGGGCAACTTCAGGAAACTAGAAGCTGAGGGCTCCTGACCTGTCTTTCGGCTCAGTAACAACATTATTCAGAACAAAAATATTTTGGCTAATAGTAACCTAGAATTAGTGTTTCTTAGGATATATAAAGATGGGGTGTATTGCTGTCAAACGCTGTTAGCAGTGAGACAGCAGAATAAAAAATGGAGAGGAGGGAGAAGAGTAAGACCGTGATCTAGTTCACTGTGAAGTTCAGAGCAGAGGGCTCTGCAACTCCAATTTAGAGAAAGGTGCAATACAGAGACACAGTGGACAGGCTTCCTAACCGATTTCCAGCCCCAGCCTCCAGAGAAGGCAGCTTCTCAGCAGCTGGGGGCACGTTCCCTGCGTCTTCCAGGAATAGGTTCTTGCCACTGTCATGGGAATAACTGCCCATCGGAGTCAGCTACAAGGGCTTCCTGACCAGTAGGTGGCTCACTTCTCTCCAAGTAGGAGCTACTGGCAGCTTTTTCCGTTCTGGCCACACTAATCCAAAGTTCTTAAAGGAATTCAAAACTCAGGCTGCTTGGCCATACTTTCAAGGATAAAGAGGGGAAAACATTAAGGAGAAAAAACAAAACAAAACCAAAAAACCCACTGCCTTGGTCTAGCTAACTTCCTCTGTCCCCCAAAACATAGTAAAAACAAAAATTTAAAAAACAAAACAAAACAGAAAAACGAACAAACCAAACCAATAACCACCTGTCCGGTTTTTATCATCCTTCTCTGCTCTGCGCTTAGAAGGTTTGGTCAGATTCTGTATTGGACCCTTTCTTTATTCTTAAAGGCTTTGTGCCTGACGCAGAAAAGCCAAAGCTCAAAAAGGGTTTTTTTGTGTGTGTGTCGTTTTTTTTTTTTTTTTTTTTTTGTAAATCAAACCAACAATAAAACAACCATTTGGAATTTTGCAGAGATTTAGCTGGTCCCCGAAATAAAGATACTCCTTCCCTGTAAAACACTCACCAGCTGCAGTGGTGCCTAATTCCCAGTTCGTCAGATTCCCTCAGGCAACACACACTGACTCCCCACACCTGGGCTAACTACTCCCATTAATGGAAACCCCAGCAAAAAAGGAAAAATAAAGTTTAGTGAAAACCTAAACATTCAACTGGAGTCCGTTCTGTTACATCTGCTGGGTTCCTCTTCTCTTTTGTTCACACGTATGAACTTGGACTGTCCACACTTTGCTTAACACAGAGAGGCCCAGCTCCAGGGCGTAGGTCTGAATGTGGTGGGTGTCCTGTGCCCAGCCAGGAAAGCAGGCTGGGACAGAGGTGTCCTAGGGATTCTCTGGAGAAGCAGCAGCAGCACCATGCCTGTCTCCGATCTCAATCTCATCACTGAGGAGGCCTGGAGAAACGGCAGTTAGCAGAGAGGTCCCTGTCACAGTGCAGTGACACCAGCTGGCGTCTTCCTGCTGAAGACCTCTGGACAGAGGAGATGATCCCGATGTTTGGCAGTGATCCAAGAAAACCCTCTGTATGAAAGGGAACTCAAATGGAAACCCAGGACAGCTGGCTCGAGCCTCGAGCACCCCTTTTGGCAGATGCCTACTTGGGGTTTTCAGAGACTAAGGGGATCGGAGTGTGCAGTAAGGGGGGCGATGGGTCCTGCTGCTTCTGAAGCTCCATCTCAGCAGCCCTCTGTAGCGCCACCTCTACCAGCAACTGGAAGCTACTGAAGTCCTCCTTGTCCTGCTCTGGGGGTGTGGGCGGTGGCGTGTTGAAGAGTCCACCTGTGGGGCTTCCGGCTTCAGCTCTGGTCAGTAGAGTGAGTGTGTTGCCAGGGGCCACCAGGGGCTTCGGGGGCTCCAGCTCCCCTGGTGGGAAGGGGGCTGCTGGCTTTTCCCCCTGGCCTGAGTGGAGTGGCACAGAGCACACGGACAAGGAGAGCACATTGGTGGGGGCTGGTACAGACACAGCCAGCACTGAGGGGCTGCTGCCTCGGGGCAGGGCCACATCTGAGGCCTTACCCCCGCGGCGGGAGATGGTGAATTGATTGGGGTCTTTGCCGTCCTTCCGGAGCATGTCTGGGAGAAGGCGCCGCCGGGCGTTGATGAACCAGTTACATATCTGGAATGCACAGAAGAGGCCGTGATCGGTTCACTCGGTCAAAAACCAGCTATGAAGCACCTACGTTCCTGGCCCCAGAAACATGGCAGCAAACAACACAGACATAGTCCCAGCCTTCAGACAAGTTCACGTTGGGAAGAGAGAGTTAAAAAAGAAATCCTACAAGTGAATATAAAATTACAACCAGTGGTGGGGACAATAATGGGAAGACCCAATCTAGTCTTTGTGGACTCGGGGCAGAACTGACAGCAGCAGGCCAGGACACCATGGCACACCACTGAAGGGCCTCAACACTGGCCTGCTGACCTACACACCTTGCACACTGTAGCTGCCTCTCCTGGCCCTGTCTCTTCTCCCTGTTTATCGGCAGATACAGAGCATGTACCAGCGGCTGCTCAGGGCAGAGACCAGAACCCTCTCCCCCTCACCTGTGTGGCAGGATATTGGGAACTGTGTGGACTGCAGCAATGGCTCACGTTTCTCTACGGTTTGGTGAATGGATCAAGGCTCAGCTCTCCTTAAGGCTCCTGTACCAGTTTCTACCCCTGCTGATCACCTCTCCTGGCCCATTTCCAGGGCAAGCTCTTGGCTGCCATCTTCCTATGGAGTCTGTCTCTACCTAGCCTAAGGGACAGCCACCTAGGGCAGGGGCTGGTGCCTGGAGTTGTCCTGGCTCCTTGCTCAGCAGGTACAAAAGCTCCTGTGCAGGGAAGAGCCAGAGCCTTCTAGTGGCTTCTCTTCCTCTCCATTCCAGGGGTTCTCATTTATTCCTCTTCATCTCCAGGGTCTTCCCAGTACAAACACATGCACACACACACCAGCAGGCATCAGCAGACACCGGCTGAGCTGAATGCTGGCTAAGGCTACAGGGGAGCCCCAGAGAGAGGTAGGGCTGAACAGCTGGGTGAGGCAAAGGAAAGGAAAGGTACTGATACTAAGCACCATGCCAGCCGCCTCACTTGCATTATGTTTCATCTGTACGAGCTGGAAGGTAGTCAGCAGTGTCCTCTAAGTACTAGGAGGGAACTGAACTCATAAAAGATGAAAGAACATGCCCAGAGTCACACAGGCTCTGAGTCTAGAGCGGGGATCCAAACCCAGGTCTCTAGGCTTTAGGGCCTGTGCTTTGCTGTGTCTTAGCAAACAGGTGGAACTGACAACTGAATAATCATGACCATAATCCTGAGAGCAAACACTTGTTGAACACAAAACACACCAGATGCTGTTCTGAACATTTCCATCTAATTACTTAATCTCCAACTTATGAGATAGGTAGTGTGATGACCACTTTATTTGAACTGGGGAAGCAACAGAGGCCCTGATCAGAGCTCGGTAACTTGCTCAAGGTCACCACTTCCAGGCAACCCCTACTGCCTGGTAGAGAACAGACTGAACAGACTGAAGCCTTTTCTGCTCCTCGGGATGCTTCCCCTCCTGCGTCCAGCCGCTGCCTCAGCAGCTCCCCGTGCCACCCCGGAGCACTGCGTCTGCTCCCCGTCGCTCTGCGCGCAGGGGAAGGTGTCAGGTCACCGTGACCTGGTTCACGTGAAGTAGGGATGAGGATTTCTGTTAAGAAAGCAGGCTTGGGGAGGGGAACTTAGGTGTTTATTAGCAGCTGTGTGGGCACCTAGCCCCTAGCAGCACCTCCCATTTTGGCTTAGAATTCAGGGAAGAGCAGAAACCACGCTCCCCACACGCTCAGCCTGGTCCACAGAAACTTGGCAGCCTGCTGTCTGTTTTGTCTTCTCATCCGCTAGAAATGCGCAGCTGAGGGGGGCCGGGTAAGGGCAGGCCTGTGTGCACGGCAGTGCCGGGCTGTGATAACAGGCCAGCAGGAACTTCTGTAGCCCCTTCCACCTGCCGACCCATGCCCAAGTCAGGGAAAAAGCATGTGATTTGCCCCCACTCAAGGTCCTTGGGGAGGTGGTAGGGAGAATGCCAAGGTGAATTCTGTGATTGATATGGCACAACCCAGGCTGGGTGCCTCAAAGCCTATCTCTACCACAAACTGGCCCTATGGGACCAGCGGCTGTCCTGCTGGTACTTTGTATCAGCGGCTGCGATAAAGAATGTGGGAGGAATCCCTGCGGCAAATGGGAGTGGGAGGGCACCAGGAAGCTGATGAAGGCCACGAGGATCAGAGCAGGGTCTCTGAAGAAGGCGACACTCGTGCTTTCATTCTATTGTCTTTTCAGCTGTCCAAGACAGAAGCCAAAGAAGGGAGAGAAGTGAAGGCATGGAAGGACCTTTCCCAAATACCACTGGACCCCCACTTGTGTTATGACCACCCATACCCGGGTGCTCTCAAAAGCAGCTTGGCTGTATTATAATCACCTTGAAGGTGAGTTTAAAAAATAGCTATCTCTTGGGGGCGCTTGGCTGGCTCAGTCGGTGGAGCGTGCAACACTTGATCTCAGAGTTGTGGGTTCAAAACCGGTGTTGGGTGTGATTATTTACAAATAAAAAAATTAAAAAAAAAAAATCTCATCTGCTCTACAGGTCCAGTGGGAGTGGGGTGGGGTGGGGTGGGGGCGGAGTCAGGAATGTGTGTTTTTAAACAAATTCCCTGAGTTCTGCTGCCCATACTTAGGAACCAGTGGTTCAACCCGCTCACCCCCATCCCCTCTGCTGACCCTTAGCCCCTCTCCTGCTTTGCAAAAGCCTCTCAGGTAACTCCATTTGAATGGAGTTCTAATGGCCTTGAAAGGAATGGGGAGCTCAGCAGACACCACACTGGCAATTAATTACACTGAATTCTTAGTCCATTAAATATTGTCTTTCCTTCCTACAGGAGGCTCCCCAGGGGGCAGAGATAGTGCCTGTTCTACCACTGTGTTTTCCAGCACACAGCACTGGGCCTGGCACCGAGCACACCCCCAATCAGTATGAGTGAAAGAATGGGGCCCGAACCCTCCCCGCCACGCTTCCCTTCCCTCTCCAACAGGCAGCCAGCCCCTCAGCACAGTTAGAAACCACAGCAATAAAGTGGGCTCAGAAGGTGTCACAGGGACCTGTGAAAACCCTTCACAAATGACTTTTTTTTGGTCTTACCCTCCCAACTGCCTAGCCCCAGGCAAGTACCAGCAAACCAGTTAGTTAAATGACTCATTGACTTGCTAATGAGATTGCTCTTGGGCCAGTTAAAGGAGACAATCAAAAGAACTGTCCCCAGGGAGAGAGAAAACAAGCTTGGCAAAATGCAGAAGCATGTTGAAGCCAGGTGATTGGTTCTAGGAGTGCATTATAATATTCTCTTTTGTGGATATTTGCAAACGTTCTTAATAAACACTGAAATTTAAAAAATTAAACACAGGAAAAAGAGATATCTGTCTCCAGGGACCTGGGCCAATTTTTCCAGAGTGAGAAGCTACACTTCTTTACTTTTGAGGTCCTGCCTGTTGACATTTCCCCACACTTCCTCATTTTCTATCAATTCAATAATTGTTTACTGAGCACCTACCAGATACCAGGCATAGAGCTAAACTCGGGATACAGTGATATAGTGATAAGTAAGCCTCCTGTTCTAAAAAGCAGCTATATAGTCCGTTGTCCAAGTGCTGACCCAGTTATGGTACTGTGGGAACACACAGTTCCTCTGAGGGTTGAGGGTCTCTCTGGTTAGGAGTGGGAATGAAGTGGTCTGGGGTACTGATTCGTGTGGCACGAGTACTGGGGGAGGCAGGGGTGAGGCTAGCTAGGCAGATAGGGGCATCGGCATAGCCGGCCATACTGTCATTAGGTGGGCAGGAGTCACTGAAGGGCTTTTAATAGTGGAATAGCGAGTGGTAAGACAATGATAGGTTGGACCAGGGAAGGAAACCCACACTTCAGAAATACTTAAGGGGAATGCATACTTTAGGAATGCATAGGAATTGGTGACTGATCAAATGAGCTGAGGAAGGGAAATGAAGGGGCCCACCTTAGAAAAAGAAAGAGCCAGTTTGGAGAAGTTATCCATTACCAATCAAGAAATCTGAGGTGCCTGTGAGACCGTCAAGCAGAGGTAGAAGGGTGGAGGCCCTGTGGGATTCATGGTATAGTTTTCCCCCAGGGCCACATGGTCCCCACTGCTCCTTAACTCTCAGCAGGACTCTAGAGCAGGGTGGCCAACACCAGAACCCTACCCATGAGGGCACACCAGGATCCAGCTGGCCCTTCCTCGGCCCAACATTTCTCTAAGTGGAATCAGGGATATATCATCCTAGGAATCCACTAGTTCTCGGAAGAAATGTTTTAGCTTCACATTTCCATTCTGATCTTGAGTAGGAGCACAGTAGCCTCCGGCAATCTAGACTTGCTCAAGTCCAGAGTCAGTGCCTTTGTCATACTACACATCATAGCCGACTCAGCAAAGCATCATCATCCCCATCCACCATTTTACATTAAATTTTACATTGGTTTCACAATTACATTGGGAAACTGGTTATTTTACAATTTATAAGAGCAAAAGCAAGAACGTTTTTTTTTTAACCCAGTTTTTATACATGCTTAAGTGACATAATAAAAATGTATCAAGTCAACATGTTGCGGGGAGGTGGGTCTGTAAAAAATAAATTAGAGAAACTGGCACATCACTCAGTTGTAAGAAATGGTGTCCCTGGGGTACCTGGGTAGCTCAGTCATTAAGCATCTGCCTTCGGCTCAGGTCATGATCTCAGGGTCCTGGGATTGAGCCCCACATCGGGCTCCCTGCTTGGTGGGAGCCTGCTTCTCCCTCTCCCACTGCCCCCTGCCTGTGTTCCCTCTCTCACTGTGTCTCTCTCTGTCAAATAAATAATAAATTTTAAAAAATCTTAAAAAAAAAAAAAGAAATGGTGTCCCTGACCGAAAGCAATTTCAATGCAGTGTGGCAACACAGGTAGGAGGTGCACCAGGAACACAGGAATAGTGGCCTCAGACCTAATCCAAGAATGCTCTCATGAGGAAATGCTTACATGGAGTGAGCCAAGTTCAGAAAAGTCATGAAGAAGCCTAGGGAGAAGGCCTGGAGGAACAGAGGGCCGAAGGTTCACAGGTCCTGGGGACAAGAAGAACTGAGAGATGAAGCTGGTAAGCTCCTGACTTTGGATTCTCTGCAAAGGACAGTGGGGTCCATGGTGTGTGCGACACAATCAGATTTGTACTTTTGTGTCCAGGAGAATGGACTGAGGGAACGGAGTTAGATGGGATGCTGTCCCAATTCATGAACTGCTTAATAAAGCCCATTTAAAAAAAAAAAAAAAGAGAACGGACTGAGGGAAAAAGGCTGGAGGCAGAAGACCAGCAAAGAGCCCATCGAGGTGATCCTGGTTTTCAGGCTCAAGCCTTTGGCCTGTGTTGTTCTACGTCCTGTGAGTTCCAGTCCGCCTCTTCTGGGAGGCCTGCTGACACTCCAGGCTGGCTTAGAAACACTGCTTGGGTCTCTGCTGCCTTCTGTCCCAGCAACACTTTTTACAAACACTAATGGCTAGGTCCTCCCCACTTTCCCATCCTAGACTAGACACCTTGAGGGTGGGAATGTGTCTGGTTCCTCTCTGGGACCTCAGCTCTGGTTGGGAGTGCTTGGTACACTGTGAGATGCTAGGCACTATCAGACACCTGGGGTCAGTCCAAGACCTGTGATCTAGGAGATGAGGATGACAAGAGCAAAAACACCCACTCTGTGCTCACCTCGCCGTGAGCCTTGAATCTTTCTTCTCCATCCCTCTTCCTTATATGCTATGCCAAGTACCACAGTCATCTCCTTTTTTCAGATGAGGAACGTGAGGCTCAGGGAGAGGCAGTGGACCTGGCCAACATCCAGGCTTCTTCTTGTGGAGAAGATGGGATCTGAGTCAGGTTCTGTAACCCTAGAGCCTTTCTCACAGACAGACTCCCATTAACCACTGCCCAGCAAGTATAAAGTCAGGTGACAGGAGTTCTGAAGGCTGAATACTCAGCGTGAGGCATCATGGAGAAGGGATGGGAACTGGGGAGACAAGGGAGGTTCCAAGGTGGGGGGGGTAAGGGAAGGAAGGAGAGTTAGCACCACAGATTCAAGTAAGGAATCTATTAAAGGCTAGGAAAAGAGCTAGAACAGGAGGCTGAGGGCCTTGGGGTAGAGGCTTAGCCGGCTCATGAAGGGAGCGCTGGGGACTCATGGGGCAGGGGATGGGCCTTCGCTAGACTGGGGGCCTGCTGTGTCGCCCAGGTAGATGAGAGCCAAACTGCAGGCAAGTCAGTGATAGTCCAGGGTGTCTACCTCAGCGCCATGAACACAGAACAAAACTCCTATAGGTCAGCAGCCAGGCAGTTCAAAGATGATATCTTGCACTCTGATGAAAAGTGGACAAGAGATTTTCAGGTATGCTCATGTGGATGGTTTACAAAGCACTTTCTTTCTTTTTTTAATATTTTTTTTTCTTTTTTTAATATTTTATTTATTTATTTTTAGAGAGTGTGTGGGAGGTGGGGGAGTGGGAGTGTGGGCATGGGACAGAGGAGGGAGAGGGACAAGCAGACTCCGTGCTAAGCGTGGAGCCCGATGTGGGGCTTGATCCCAGGATCCTGAGATCAAGACCTGAGTTGAAATCAAGAGTCAGATGCTCAACCAAGCCACCCGGGTGCCCCATCTTTTCTTTCTTTCTTTTTTTTTTTTTTTTTTTTTAAAGATTTTTTATTTATTTATTTGACAGAGAGAGATAGGCAGTCAGAGAGAGAGGAGGAAGCAGGCTCCCCGCTGAGCAAAGAGCCCGATGCGGGGCTCGATCCCAGGACCCTGAGATCATGACCTGAGCCGAAGGCAGCGGCTTAACCCACTGAGCCACCCAGGCGCCCCATCTTTCTTTCTTTTTTTTAAAAGATTTTATTTTTAAGTAATCTCTACACACAATATAGGATGTGCATTCACAACCCCAAGGTCAAGAGTCACGTGCTCCACGGACTGAGCCAGCCAGGTGCCCCCAAAGCACTTTCACATCCAGTTCTGAATCTGCTCCTACAACAATTCGGTCAAGCAAGGGAGGATTCGAACCCCCACTTTACAGATGGAGAAATCAAGATGTGGTCCTTTGCTCCTACGTGGCAGAACTGGGTTTTGAACCCAGAACCTCTGAATTCTGCCCTTTCCTTGGCCATGAGCCCAACTCATTTTTTTAACTACACTGCAGACCACTAGCTGCCCTTCTGCCACCAAGTCACTAAACCCTGCTCTGGGGCCAGGGGCTGAATTCCAAACACGCAGCGCCTTCTCACCTTCCCCACGGTCTCCACTGTTAATGACACCAAGACATTCATAGTGGTGCCTTGCCTCTTCAGAACTCCCCCAGATCTAGCTGCAGTCACCTCATGTCATGGTCTTCCCTTGAGGCAGAGTGGGTGTTGTCACGTGGCCACACAGTGTATCAGCGACAGGACTTAGGACTAGAACCCAGGTCTCCTGCTACCTGCTCCTTACCTGCAGCACGGACAGGTTGGTCTGTCCAGAAAGGCTCAGCTTCTCCTGCTCTGAGGGGTAGGCGTTGTAGCGGTGCAAGTACAGCCAGTCCCGGAGGATCTTCACCGATTCTTTGGGCAGGTTCCCTCTGCGCTTCCTCTTGCCTGCCAGGGAGAGGAGGCCTTCGTCCTCACCCAGATCACTGTCTGACATGGTGTCTAGGGGCTAGGTGGACCTTGGGCAAGCCTGGAACAAGTGACAGAGGGGATGGGGACATCATTACCACACATTCCCTTTTACCCTTTCCCTGTCTCCAAACACATCATCATTATAGCCTGGGACACCGAAATGGAGGAATGGTAAATCAAAGTCTCAGGCCATACCTTCGCCTGGGCAACCTAGAAGGGATGAGTCTGAGATGCTTTCATTTCATGCACTCAGTAGAGGACTAGTGAGATAAGTGGCAGCTCTTTAAGAAGCAGTACCAGACTACAAAGAATTTTAGCTACCCCTGAGGTCTGTTTTCCATGCACTGTACTGAGCACTTCACACTATCTCAGTCAAGTCCTTTTAAGACAGACACTACTATTATCGTCATTTTATAGATGAGAAAATCAAGACCAAGAGAGAACGCCACCTAATTTAAACAGTTACCATGTGACCCAGTAATTTCACTCCTAGACATCTACCAAAGAGAAATGAAAACCTGCGTTCACACAAAACCTTGAACACAAACGTTTATAGCAACATTATTCGTAATAGCCAAAAGGTGGAAAGAACCCAAGTGTCCAACAGTGGAGGAATGGAAAAACGAAATGTAGTCCATCCATATGGTGGAGTATTATTTGGCCATGTAAAGGAACTAAGTCCTGATCCATGCTACAGTGTGGATGAACCTTGAAAATATGCTAAGCGAGAGAAGCAAGTCATGAAAAATACATATGAGTCCGTTTTAATGACCAATTTAGAATAGGCTGGGGGAGGAGCCTAGAAGGAGGACAGCTAAAGGGTATGGAGTTTCTTTCTGAGGTGATAAAAATGTTCTAAAATTGACTGTGGTGGTGGTTACATAGTTGTGAGTATACTAAAACCACTCATTTGTTTGCTTTAAATGGGTAAGTGGTAGGATATGTGAGTTACATCTCCATAAAGCTGTTATGGAAAAAAACAAACAAAAAACCCTTCACCTCCAGGATAGGGTATGGAAGCAAGGTTTGGACCGACGTTTGCCAACAACAACAACCAACTCTCGCCAGCCTCCCCAAACTCTAGCATTTTGCTGCCCAGGTCTGGAAAGTCTATTAATCACTACGGTCCTACCGCAATGGGTGTTTCACATTTACTGCACCTACTGTGCCCTGCAGTGTTGAGTCATCCCTATTGGTTGTCTCAGACATTCTCTTTTGTCATCTAGCCCCTGGCTGGGTCCATGAATCAATTCCTCAAAAATCCAGATAAATGAACAAGGCTGGACTCTGGTTCTCTCCCCTTGGCTGTGTGACCTTGGCAAGTGTGCTCTCTCCTCTCTGGGCTTGAGCCCCCTCTTCACCTGTCAAATGTAGGAAGGGGTTTCCCTAGACAACCCGACTCAGTTACTCATCCTAACTTCTGGTTCACACATGCAAAAGAGATTTACATTTTAAAACCAAAAGTTCCAGGGCAAGCTAATGCCAGAATCTCAAGGCTCCTCCCTCCTCAGCCTTTTAACAGCTACCCAGCAGGCTGGGCCAACAGACTCTGGCATCTCCCAGGTTTTGTTTCCTCGACTTGGGCCTGAGCCCAGATATCTGGGCTGGCTCGGCCAGGCTTTCGAGGGAAGGGTCTACCCTCCCAGCCAGGCCACCTGGAGGTGAGACAGGCACTGGTTAGAGGTGCCACTCCTCAGAGAACACCAACAGCAGGCTGCTTTCTGAGGTCAGGTTTCTGGGACTTAGCTGGCCAGGGCAGTTGGGATCTGGGCTCAGGGATGCAGTCTTGGCAGGCTATGAGAAGTTTACTCAGGGTTATCTGTATAAATTCCACCCTGGCTGCCAACCAAGTCCCAGTCTGCAGGGTTCCTAGGGTGGCCGGTGGAGATGACCCCTGAGCCTACAACAGACCTCTCTCCACCATCGTGTCCTGCACTCCAGCCAGCTTACAACGGGGGGAGGTTTCCCACATACATACCCCATACTCACACCCAGACACACAGACTGACAGACACACACGCCCTCACCACCAGGCAACTCTGTAGCAGTGCTCAGATAACAGGCACCAACCCATCCCTTAGCTCCTGGAACCACCAAGGTTTTCACCGACAAACACAGCACACACAAAGCTTACAGAGCCCACGTCTACCACGAACAACTGGTACCCACGAAACCAGCCCAATTCCTGGCTATATGCCTACCCACAAACTCCAACCGACCCGCCCACCCACGATCTCTCAGACTGAGGAAACTCCAAACGTCATCACACCAGCGATCAATTCTTACCCCAACTGGCCCGTGGCAGCACCCTCACGACAGGACACCCGGTGCACCCTTCTATACACTCCACGACGCCGACCTGCAGCCACTCCCGAATGCACTTTCTGACAACTCCCCCAGCTCCACCGGACACTCCCCCGGGCCGCGCACTCACGCTGCATTCCCAGCAGTTCACACAAAGCGCGCAGTCTCCCCCGCGGCCCAGACCGAGTCGGAGCACATGGCTCCCGGGGCGGCGGGGAATCGGCCTGCGCTCGGGGCGCCCGCACCCCCTCAGCCCCCTACCCCGCGCTAGACTCGGCGCCCCAGCTCCCCCGCCGGCCCGCAAAGTAGGTGGGGCGGGGGCTCTGCAAGAAAGAAAACTCACGTGTCTGTCCCGGGGCAGGAAAAAGTTTGGTTCCCACCCCCTTCCCCCGCCGCTTGGCGCTGTCTGACTCTTCGGGGCGCGGGGCTGGCCGAGCCTGCGCGCTCGGCTTTGTGCTCCGAACTCGGCCCGGAGGGGGAGGGGAGGGGGCTGGGCCCCCCCCCCCCCCCCCCCCCCCCCCCCCCAGCCCTGCGCCCAGACTCCATGTTGGCCGCCCCCTACCCTAGAGAACTGCGCGCTTCCCCCGCGGGAGGCTCGGCTCACGCTCGGCCTGCCGGAGGGTCCCGGCGCGCACAAACTTTCTTCGGGTTGCCGGCCCCACGCGCCCCGCTTCCTTGGCCCGCCTGGGAGTGACAGATGCCTCCGAGACAGACTTTCCTTTGTTCCAAAGGAAAGGGGAACTCGCGCGGGCTCCCCAGCCCCCCAGCCCCGGGCCCTTGCCGCTGCCCCCACCCGCAGCTGTCACTCTCGGCGGCCCCCTCCCCGGCTCGGCCGCCGCGGGGGGGGGGCGGAGGGGGGAGAGGGTTCTGGCGGTTAGCAACGTGCACTTTTTAAACCAAACAAACCCGCCCCCCGCGCGCTCACCCCGGCCCGGGGCAGGGGCGGCCCTCTCACGGGCTGGGATCGTACGGAGCTGGGCCCCCCAAAAGGGCCTCGAGAGAGCTTCCAACTTGGGGGGGGGACGGTGCGACATTCCCCCCCACCGGCCCCCGCCCGCCCCCCAGCAGTCGCGGCTCACAAACACCAGAGCTTACACACCCACAATCGCACGCGCCAGGACGACGCCCCCTCCCCCGCCCGGCCGAGAAAAAGAAACTTTCCAAGTTGTCCGCGCGCCCCCCGCCCGACTCTGTCCCACTCCTGCGCCCCGCACTGACTTTTCCGAGCGGCTTTTCCGTCCACGCGGCCCCTGGCTCGGTGCCGGGCGTCTTGGCAGGGGGCGGGGGGCGCCGGCGGAGCGCGCCGCGTACCTGCCGGGCCTGACACTCGGCCTGACAGCTCGCGGCTGGAAAGCACCTCGCGGCCTGACGTCAGATCCCCTCTCCTCCCCCCCGCGCTTTCCTCGCCCTCCCCCACTCGCCCGGAGGGAGAAAACAAACTTTGTGCGGAGCGCGGCGAGCTACGCCCACCCCCCGCGGGGCGGGCCGACGGCGGCCGGGGGCTTCGTCCCGCCCACCGCGCCCGGAGGGGGCGGGGCCGGGCGGGCACCTTCTTCCTGCGCCCACCCCCACCCGCAGGAATGCCACATGGCCTCCGAAGAGGAGAGGTGGGAGCCCGGCTTCGGGAGAGTCCGCTCGGGGACAGGAAGTGGCCCGTTCCTCCTCTTTGGGAGCGTTTCCGCAGCGCCTACTGTGTGCTTCAGGCTGGGAGTGGGGGCCGTTTGCCGAGGGGAGAAGTAATGCAAAGCCTAACATTCGTGAGACCGCTGCCTCCAGCACGTCTCCCGCCGGCGGTGTGATGGCTCCCATCGCACCGGGAGGAAACTGAGGCCCAGTGAGCCGGGGGGCGTTTACCCCAGCTGGTGAGGACCGGGCTCTGCACGCGACGCCTCAGCGGCCGCTAGAGTCGGGTAGAAGGCTGCCTCGGACACAGCCCCAAAGCACGCAGCTCCTGGGTCTAGACACAAGTGGCGGCCTGAGGTAAAAACGGCGCTTGAGGAGTGTTTCTCACACAGCAATGCGGAGCGGGGCCCCTGGCGTGTACCATCCTGTGTTGCAGTCCTTGGCTTCTAGGGCTGGTGCCGTTACCTACCGGCTCCGGGCTTCCCCACGAGCTGCAGAGGCTCTGGATTTGGCTTCTGCTCACACAGTCAGCCAGTGTCGTTGGGCCCAGGTGGGTCCGCCGGCGGAGCCCAGGCCTTACCCCACCGAGGCCGACCACCTGACCAGACGCGCCCAGCGCCCCTCGCCCGTGTGTCTTTTCTGGGCTTACCTCACCACACCCAGCTCCAGGATGTGTCTTCTCCATCCGTGCCAGGACTCTCGTCCCTGCGCTTGGCTCCGTACCGCAGTGTGAAACACCTGGTGGCCAACCCCGCCCCGCTTTCCCACCAGAACTTGTGTTCCTCAGAGCGCAGCAGCACAGAGCCTAAAGCCCGGCAAGGCCTTTTCTGGGCCTCTGGTTCCTCATCTGGTCCTAGATATCTAGGACCCTTGAGCAGCCTTGAAATGGCTTTTGGCCCTAATGGCCCTTAGGCAGTGGAGAAATCGGAAAATAAAAATTGAGTTCTTTCCAAACAGGCCTTAAGCCTATCAGAATGCTTGATTAAATGATCGTGCAGGTGCACCTGGGCTCCCAATTGAAGCCAGATTTCCCTGCAACAGCCCAGAACCTAGTTAGCCACACTACCCTCCTCCACACTACAGCAGCACCCAGAATGCCAGTGCCACTACCCACCATGTCACAGATACGGAGACTGAGGCCCAGTGTGGAGGCCCCAAATGATTTCTTGGGGAAAGTGGTGCTCCTGTCTTAGAGAAGAGAGGCTTGGGGAATCTTAGGTAAAGGTAAAACTATGGGTCCTGGTCACTAGGCTCAAAGATGTATGTGGGGCAGGGACCTTCAGGAGGGAGGGGTCTGGAAGGGGAAAGGGGTGCATCCAGGTGAGCCTGGAGCTATGACTGTCCCCAACACTCAATGCCAGGCATTGTGGTCCAGTGCATGAGAGACAGACTTTGCTATTTGGGGGAAGTCACTAGGGACCTGGGCTGTGGCCCAGAGACCTCCCTGCAAGTTCTGTTACCCCCCCCCCACGCCAGGATTTCCCAAGGTTTGTGCTAGGTGGGGTGCTCTGGGGCAAATAGAAGGCACTAGCACTTCCTCCCATAGCTGGGCCACCTGGGATCTGGATAACAAAGCAGCTTCAGGAGCCCCTCCTCAGACTTCCTGGAGGGGGAGGGGAAGGGCTGGATGTAAAAGGAGGCTGGGAGTGTGTCAGGATTGCTCTTTGTAAGCGGATTTCCCCAGGTAAAGCCTAAATACTAGTGGACTCTGAGAATTACCCCATAAAGTTTTTCAACTAGTAAGTATCAGAATGTAAAATGCACGCATTCTCTCAAGCCAATAAGCCCACTTCCAGGAATCTATCATGAGAAATAATTGCAGAACAATGATAAATACTTATACAAGATTGTTCTTTGCAGCACTGTTCCTTCTGGTGGAAGATTGCAGACTGCTACATACCCCTGGCCAGGAGCTGACTTCTTACAGCACCTCTGGGACCTCTGTACAGCAGGATATTGTAATGGGGTAAGTCTGTGCACACTAACCTGGGAGAGAGCCAAGGTGTATGCGTTGTGACAATTTGCAGTGTCCTAGCAGAAAAGAGTTTTGGATATCCTTGGTACCTTTATGGGAAAACCTTTAATAACTGGGAAGTTATTCTTACAGCCTTTTTCTCTCCAGGTTTGCTATTCACCTCCACTTTTCACATATGAAAAAAACTGGGTCCGTGAGGGAAGGGACTTGCCTGATAAGCTGGGGTCCTGACTCCTGGGACAGATCTGGGGTGGGGCCTGGATGGGAAGGACCGATAGGTATGGTGTCAGCCCCTAGACTCACCTGATTGCTTCCTGTAGGCCATTTTAGGAAAAGGCCCAGAAACAAGGCCCCTCAGGCCAGAAAAGGGACTGAATAGGTTGCATAAGGCAACTCCTGCTTTTGTACTGGAAAACCCAAATAAAAGGCTGCTACTGATGGGGCTCCCCATTGTGCCTGTTCCTGGTGAATTTGGTTACCACGTAGGTAAAAATAAATGTCATGTAAATCCACTTTCATTAAAGAAAAAAAAGAAAAGCCACTGCCTTTTTTACCGGGGTTTGATGGAAGTAGGGTAAGGGACCAATATTTACCTGGAGCCAGTTGGAGCCAAGGCTAGATTTGGCAACATAAAGGAAATGGGGTTCTGTGGGGTGGAGGGGAAGAGTCCAGAAAAGTCCAGGGTCAGTGAGTAATTCAGGAAACCGTGGAATCAGTCAGCTGGTAGGGCCTTGAAGGCCAGGGTACGGAATTTGGATTTTGCCTTGTGGGCAGTAGGGAGCCTTGCAGGTTCCTGGACCTGCTGAGGAGAGATGGGAAGTGATTGGCTGCAGGGTGGTCAGGCGAGGCAGCTCTGGGTAATTGAGGCCAAATTGATGGAGACCTGTCTCTGAGGGTGAGGAGGTTTGTGGTTCCCTTCTGTGAGGTTCAGCATTATCATCTAATGTGGATTTCAGCTTATCAACATCTTCCTTTTGAAAAGATTTGTCGTATTCTGTTGATCATTCACAATTTGCTTAGCTTTCTCCTAGTTTGAGATACCCACTCGTCGAATTTTTGAGTGCTTAGTGTTTGACAGGCTGTGTGCTTGAAGCTGGGGAACTCACTGCCTGGGCTATTAGGGATGTTTTGGGCAACAGTGCCAGCTGATGGAAGGGGTATGGGGTTTGGCGTTTGGAGCTACTAGCCAGGTGGTGTAGGCAAATCATCCAACCACCCCCCCCCCCCCCCGTTTTTAAAAAGATTTTTAATTTCTTTGTCATAGAGAGAGGGCACAAGGAGGGGGAGCTGGCAGGCAGAGAGAGAGAAGCAGGCTCCCGCTGAGCAAGGAGCCTGTTGGAGGACTGGATCCCAGAACCCTGAGATCACAACCCGCCAAAGGCAGAAGCTTAACCAATTGAGCCACTCAGGTGCCCCCCCCACCCTTTTAAAAGATTTTATTTATTTGAGAGACAGAGATAGTGACAGAGAGCATCAGCCGGGAGTAGAGGGAGAAGCAGGCTCCCCACTGAGAAGGGAGCCTGATGTGGGACTTGATCCCACTACACTGGGATCATGACCTGAGCTGAAGGCAGCCACTTAACTGTCTGAGCCACCCCGGCACCCTTATACAAACACTTTGAGCCTTCCTTTTTTCATCTCTGGAAACATCCGGATTTGGTGAGGGCCAAGGGCAGCTGAGGGAGAAACAGACGCCCTGCTGAGCAGGGAGCCTGATGGAGGGCCCATCCCAGAATCCTGGGATCACGATCTGAGCCACCCAGGTGCCCCTAAATGATTTCTTTTAGGGCCTGTTGGAAAGCTGTAGGCAAACAAGCACTTACATATGTGTGTGTGTGTATATATACTGCTTTCAGAATCATTTAAGCCAGGGTGCCTGGGTGGCTCAGTCAGTTACATTTATTTGAGAGAGAGAGAAAGAAAGATCTATTTATTTGAGAGAAAGATTTATTTGAGAGAGAGAGAGATAAAGGTCTCGCACAAATGACACAGAGGAAAAGCAGACTCCCTGCTAAGCAGGGAGCCTGATGTGGGCCTTGATGTGGGGCTGCTTATGACCTGAGCCAAAGGCAGATGCCATACCGACTGACATATACACACACACACACACACACACACACACACACACACACACACACTACTTTATATATATGTATATGTATATATGTAAGTGGGGAGTCATATTATAAATATATACACATATCTACATGTATATTGTATATATAAACAAGCATATATATAAACAAGCATTTATATATATAAATGCTTGTTTGCCCACAGCTTTTTAAAATTTTTATCTTTGCTGGTTTAAGTGCTATGGACTATTATCTGAAAGTTGTGTATGTCTGTATGACTTTCCTAACAGGCCAGGCTAATCTTTATTCTGGCCATGCATCATTATCTGATTTTCTTCCTGTGCAAACAAAGGGGTATTTCATATGGGTCCAGGTTGTAGCATTTTAACTCAGGGGTGTTGGTGTGGTAGGGATGTGGCAGTGATCTGCGTGTAGGGACACCACACACGTGTAGAAGGGATGTGGCAGTGATCTGCGTGTAGGGACACCACACACGTGTAGAGACACCACAGTCTCTTGCCTTGATGCCCTCTGGCTTCTAGACAAAGATTAAGTAGTGAGTGTTGTGTTTTTTTTTTTTTTTTTTTAAGATTTTATTTATTTATTTGACAGATACAGATCACAAGCAGGCAGAGAGGCAGGCAGAGAGAGGAGGAAGCAGGCTCCCTGCTGAGCAGAGAGCCCGATGTGGGGCTTGATCCCAGGACCCTGAGATCATGACCTGAGCTAAAGGCAGAGGCTTTAACCCACTGAGCCACCCAGGCGCCCCGAGTGTTGTGTTTTTAAATTGGGGATTAAGAAAATCACTTTTGATTTTCTGGTAGTCTGCTCCTCTACCTGTGAGCCACTGGGTATGGCACCTCCAATCATGGCTACAGAAGTCAGCCAGGCAGAGTTGGCTATTGTGGGGCTTGGGAGACTTACTAACTGTATTTTTCCTCATTTCTTTTATGAGGGTCTGTGTGATAGGGTAGATGGGGATCAGATCCATTTGGCATAGTTTTATCTTTTTTATATGTGGCTATTTCCTTCTCCTGGAGTTTTTTTTTTTTTTTTTTTTAAGATTGATTTATTTGAGAGAGAGTGCAAGCGAGCTAGCGTGAGTGCAGGGGTGGCAGAGAGAAGCAGAGGGAGAGAGAATCTCAAGCAGACTCCCCACTGAGTGCAGAGCCCGATGAGGGGCTCCATGAAGGGTTTGGTCTCACCATCTGGAGATCATGATTTGAACTGAAACCAAGAGTTGGATGCTTAACCAACTGAGCCACCCAGGCGCCCCTGGGGTATGTTTTTTAATTCCAAAAGCAATGTACTGTGTTAATTAGGGCAAGTTAATCAATGCAGGAAGCGTATAGGGACAAAATGAGTTACCTCCCCCCACCCCACCCATTCCCACCTTCTAGTACTGGCAGTGCTAAGAGGTATGTAGCCTTTCTCACCTTTCTCCACGTGCAAATACATACACACATCCTGAGAGGTGTTTTCTCTCCTCCCTCTAATTTACGTCCCCCCAACCCCCGATTTCAGCAGGGCTGCAATTAACATTTCCTATGTAAATATCTTTGCAATTTTGAGAATTTCCTGAAATAGATTCTCTGAAGTGGAATTACTGGGACAAAGAGCAAGAATGGATATTTTTAGGGCATAAACCCAAAGCACTCTCCATGGCAGTGTTTGCAGTGTTTGAGTGCTTGCTTACCCTCGTGCTCAGTCGCAGGAAGACTTAGCAATTTTGTGGAAATCTTCTTTGATGGCTGAAGAGTAGCCTTTGGTTCTTTTAATCTGCATTTTTTTTTTTTTTAAACTATTGGTGAAGTTGAATATCTTAACGTTTTGTAACTATTGGGCATTTGTCACCTGTGAATTATCTGCATATCTTTTGAAATCTTGAGTTTCTTTCTGACTTGTAAGCACTTTTCAGTATGAAGGATGCCTAACCCTTGTTTATTATATTTATTGCAGGTAGGTTTTTTCCCTCAAGATTATTGTTCGCCTTACTTTTTTTCTAAGCTGGGCTATTTTTGTTTATTATTTTTATTCATTTTTATTTTTAAAGTTTTATTTTATTTAAATTCAATTAATTAAATAGAGTGTATGATTAGTTTCAGAGATAGAGTTCAGTAATCTATCAGTTGCATATAATACCCAGTGTTCATTATGTGATGTGCCCTCCTTAATGCCCATCACTCCCCATCTTCTACCTCCCCCTTCCCTCCAGTAACCCTCAGTTTGTTTCCTATAGTTAAGAGTCTCTTATGATTTGTCTCCCTCTCTGATTTTATTTTATATTTTTCTCTCCCTTCCCCATGATCCTCTGTTTTGTTTCTTTTTCCTTTTTTTTTTTAATTAAAAGATTTTATTTATTTATTTGACACAGAGAGAGAGAGAGGGAGAGAGAGAGCAGGAACACAAGCAGAGGGAGTGAGAGAGGAAGAAGCAGGCTTCTCGCTAAGCAGGGAGCCCGATGTGGGGCTCGATCCCAGGATCCTGGGATCATGACCCGAGCCAAAGACAGACGCTTAACGACTGAGCCACCCAGGCGCCCCTCTGTTTTGTTTCTTAAATTCCACATATGAATGAAATCATATGATACTTGTCTTTCTCTGACTGACTTATTTCGCCCATGCGAGGCTCAAACTCACCACCCCCAGATCAAGAGTCGCACACTCTTCCAACAGAGCTGGCCAGGCTCCTATTTTGTTTATGTTTAAACTTTTCACTTGGTCAAATATCAGTCTTGTGCCATTGCCCAAATAGCTTGCTTTTGGGTTAGGAAAGAATACAAGCAATCAAAGGATATTTACTTACACTTTTTGATTTTGTTCCTATAAGGCCTAATTTTTAACATTTAACTCTTTACTACATCTGGACTTGATTTTGGTTTACAGTGTGAGGCTAAGCGTCCCAATAACTTTTTTT